AAGAGAATTTTATGTATGGAATAAAGATAATTTTGCCGATTCCAACTGGTTTTTCTATATGAGTTAAATATGCCAAGTGAAATTGGACTTGCCAATATTGTAAATTGAAGTATGGACTATATATCGATTTATTTGATTGATGAATAACTCGGAGTAATGTAATTGTTGATAATGAAAAATAGTTTTCAATTGCTGGTAAGGGCCAATGTATGTTCAATAGCTCCGAAAGCAAAAAATGCACGTTTAAAAAAGACGATAACGATTAAATTACAAAATCGATAACGACGACGATTAAATTACAAAATCAATAATGACCCAAATTGGACGATATAGACTATCAATATAATAATTAATTTAAACGTTTTTTTATCTTTTAATATTTTTTTCAATGTTATTCCAAAATAAAATTCAATAAAGTTAATTTTTTTGTATTAATATGATCTGAATATTAATTATATCTAATAATAACAAGTTTTTTATTTCAGATTTCACAATTTCTTCCCGAGATATCATAGGATTCTTTACAAAAGAATAAGATTGTTCTGAAATGATCTCCAAATTCAATTCTATACATTCAAAATTCAATGATGCAACATTTTATATTGAGTGTTGTTCTCTAATTGTGAAAAACTTAATTTCAGTTGAAAAAACAGAATTATTCGGCTTCAATCTGTTTAAAATATATCTAACCTTGATTATATTGAAGAATTTCGTTAGATAAATGTTGAAATTAATAATTCTAACATCAGAAACGTAGATAAATCGAGTAATGTAATCACATGAGCTCCATCATCTATTTCATTTGGCTGAAATTTATTTTTATTGAGTTTCTTTATTATTTTCACAATTTTCATATCCTATCAATATTTTGTACTGTCGCTTAATTATTAAATAGAAATTCATTTGATAGTTAAAATCAAATTATGAAACTGTCTATTTTTTTTTTTGAAATTGAACTGTTATTTTGAGATACCAATTTAATTTATAAATAACGATAATTGGAATAGGGTATACTTAACGAATATAATATAATTTATTCTCGCCAGTTATTTTGATTTTTGAAAGGTGTTTTCAAAACCGCTTAAATACATAGAATATAGAAATATAAGGCTTCTGTTTGTCAGCATAGCCATCAATATTTTTTAATAAAAGGATTAACCTCCAACACCTAATTCAATTTTTGCGTTCCTTTCAGATTTTGAATAATAAATTTTAATAATATTATGAGATTTACAAATTATTCCTTAACTGTATTGCAATACATTTACAGCGTTTAGTATCAAAAATCAATTATTATATATTTTCAATTACCATGCCCATTCAAATTAACTTACTGAATTTATAATTCTAATGTTTTCCGAACCTGATATCGATCTTTCAATCTCAGTTTTAGATCGAGATCTATATGATCAGAGCAAAAGCGCCGAGGAGAGGCCAAATTCATTCAAGTCTTCTACTTTTGCCTTCATTAAATATTGCATTCAGCATCCACAGGAAAAGTATGATATAAGATTAACATCAGACAGACTAGGATTCAAACAAAGGCGTTTCCATGAGGTCGTGTCTGTGTTTGAAGCTCTTGGAGTCTGCACCAAAATTGATCAAGATACTTTTCTATGGAACGGTTTCGATAACATCAAACTTGCAATCGAGCATATTGCTACAAATAGGGGTGTCTTCAATCCTGATTACTCGCTTGATGAAATTTTTAATAAACAAGGCAGCATATCTGTGCAAAGGATTGCTGAGGAGTTCATTTTACTTTTTATTGCATTAGAATTGAGAAAGATTAACGTATTTGAAGCTTCTGTATACTTATCCCGCAAAAATGAGCGAGAAAAAACCACTAGGTGCAAATTATATCAGGTCTCAGCAATACTAGAAATTGCAAATATTGTCAGAAAAACGGATAGTACTGGTGAATTTGAATTGTTACCGGAGTACTTCATTTCAGCATCAGATAGGATGAATACAGATTCTCCGAACCCATCAGACCTCTATTCTCTTCTGAATAGAAAGGAAGCATTTTGCACTGATATCGGAACCGCAGTTATTAGCTCTAGATTGAAAGAATATTACGCTGACAATTATTAGCATTGTCATGTTATATATGTGGAAACATAGTTTTTGTATGAAATTAAAAGGATGATAGATATTAAATTCTTAATTGCTGATTACTTTTTTATTTATCAATTGGAAACTCGAAAGCTTTTATTTAAGAACATGCATTTGGTATTTTCCCATACAATTGGGCAACACGATGAATCGAAGAGTCTGTAATATGCCTAACGCATTTTTTTATATTATTCAAAATCATCAAATAGAGAATGGGAATGCATATATCTTGATTTTCCTATATTTACATCATTATTTCAATAACAATAAGTAAAAATATTTCGGAAAAATGAAGTCTTCGTAATATTTGTCAATAAAAAGACAAGATGATGGTTCTAATAGTACAAAACTACCACAACGCATGTAATGATAGTTATTTTTGAGATACAACAGAGATTCCGTTTTTTTTTAATTTTGAGTTCGACCTTATAAAAAAATAATATTATTTTCCAATCATATTAAAAGAAAACCCTTGTTCCCTATGTACCCGATCGTTAAAAAAAAAGAATTGATGGATCTATTTTAATTTGATGAAACAATTGGTCCCTCAAGAAAGAAGAATATCCAATCATATATGATCATAAAATTTAAAAACAAATGAATTTTAATTAAATAAAAAACAACAAAAATATTACCCAGATTTTCCTTACTTTTACCACTCCCCATGTAATTTCTGGGGAAAACGATAATTCATTTTTTTTATGGATGAATAGATCGTTTTCCTAGAAAGGACCTCATATCTCTGGCTAAAAAGAGTGTCAGATCCTAAATAGGTTATTGATCTAGTGTACAAATCCAATAAAAAGCCTATTTTTTTGGCTTTTTTGGTGCTCATTTTTTCGAAGATCTACATGAATATGGGGAAACCATCGGCTTTTTTTGGTTAACCCACATCTTCATGTAGTCTGGACTATCTTTCCTCGAAGGACCTCTTTACGGGTGTAAAAACTCATAAAGTTCTCAAAAGATTCATTCTCGATCTCCATGCTGAAAGAATTTACAATAAAAAAGAGATCTACGCATCAAACTACAGCCATAAATGAACTGAACCCCTAAAGCTCAGCTCTTAGTTTATCAAAAACGTCGAAATCCTTCTCATTGTAATCAAATTTTCTCAATAACTCATAAGAAAAATCGAATTTTGATTAAGCCGATGTTATAGGTATCACAAATACTACAAACTTGAGCAATATCGAAATTGCCAGCAAAAGTTTGAAATTGCATTGCTCATATTTGTTTTGTAAACTAAAAATCTGCTTATATTATTCATTAATTTTTTATATATTATTCATATACTTTAATAAAAACAATACTATTTCACCTTAAAAATGAATTTCATAAGTCAATATTATTTTTTTGAAAATGTATCAATTTTCGATTAAAACAACATGAGAATAAAATTTACGCAAAATTATTTTAAAAAATGGTTTTAAAAATTTACAATTGATGAAGAATAAGATTGCAAGAAGTTTTGAAGTTTAATTTTAAGAAAAAAAATTCGGATATTATTCATGGATCTAAGTAATCTGATATTTGAGTATCGGCACTATGCATAAAACATATATTTATAGTTTTTTTGGATTTTTATGATTTTAAATATATTCAAATTTGGCAATCCAATAGATTTTTAAAAAATAGGTAAATAAAAATAGATTACATATGCAGCAGATTTAGAACATGAAACAAATCTTATAGTGACCCAAAAAAAATTCATGATCCAAAAAAGAAAAAAAATGGCTAAATGAGAATCAAACCTTGGCATAATGAATCATTATGTCGGATGTTTCCACTACACTACACGGGCAGTTCGAAAAATACCCTTGGTGGTTCTATTTAATAGCTACTCCCAACGATAGGCGGTGTCCCCAGCTTTAGAGGGGTGGTAAAAGTAAGGAAAATCTGGGTAATATATATTTGGACAAAGCTCTCTTGGTAACAATCTGCAATGTCCATCCTGTGTAATAATACTAAACACAGACATTTCCTTCACGTAGTTGATCGACAAAACCTGGCATCTACAGTTGAATATTATATCACTCATTTCCAAAGTAAAAGCTTCGAAAACTCTGATTCTTCCTTTGTCATCAGCAATTGCAATGTAATCAGCGCCGTTTTCTTCCCAACAGCACCAGCAAGAAACAACAAAATCAATATCGCATCTATTGATAATCTTTCCATTCACGGACAATAGAACTAACTCCTTCTGGCATTGGCACAAAATGAATCCCCATAATCTCGTAATCAACAATTTTTTGGCAACATTATTTATATCTGTCGACCAAAGGAAACTGTTTGTAAACGAGTTACATATAATTGAACCATTCTTCATTGCACACACATAGATAGAGTAACCTTCACTCAATGTTACAGTTACTGCATAATCAGAGAAAACCCCAGCCAATTGCTTGAGTTGAGGTGAAGAAGTTTTGAACAAATTCATTTCACTTTGTCTTGAACAGATCAAAATTGAGTTCTGATCTGATGCAGAATGTCTCATGTTGAAAGCTCCAACATTGTATTCTTCAATGACCTTCTCATTGATAATATAAATTTGTCCTTTTTCTCCATCAACGACTGCCAAAGATTTCAATAGTTTCAATGCAGCAAATAAATGATTTTCTTTCACAGAAATTTTGGTGTTATAAATGAAAGTGTTTGATTTCTGTGGTGTTTCGATATTTACAGTAAACTTAACAATATCTCCATCGCTGCACAATGCAATATACGTCAACATTTCGCTGCTTGTATAAACCAAACTAACAGATATCATGTCACTTCTTTCTAAAGTATAATTGAAAGGAACCGTTAACGAAACATTTCTGACAAAACTGTTTCTTTGAGGATGTGGCTGACTGAATATCATTGGAGGCATGTGTCCTGCAGTTTTAAGAGTGTTCATAATGACATCGCTCTTCGTATCAGTCCAATTCTGCCACACGTCTTCGAAAAGAACAGGATTATATATGTTTGTTCCATTAAATCCTTTTTGTTTGTATCCGAAAATTAAATCAATCCAATTATTGAGATTTTGTGAGACATATTCTGACTCCAAAAGTTTTCTATTGTAGTAAACAAAAACGAATTCGTTCTTCGCCCATTTAGGAAGTTCAATTCCTGCAAAATATTCTGGTGAGAAGAAGAATTCAGGAGTGATTTCAACGGAGTTCATTCCTTCCTTGATTTTTTCGATTGTTTGTTTCAAAGATTCGAATTTTCCTAAATCGAATTTTGTCTTTTCGAAAGAAACATCGAAAGGAGGGACTTTTCCAAGGAAGTATTTAACAACAGTAGGATTAGAAGGACTGGTCATGTACATGAAACCATTTTGATCAACAATAGATTTCGTGAAATCTCTGAAAATTGCTGGATTATTAAAATCTAATTTTTCAGAATCGAAATCTAAACAAACCCATGGAAAGATCGGATACAAACTCATATCATGGTAACTTCTTCCTGTGAACAAATTCAATCTCATCAAGTACTCGAAATTCGAAATTTCCCTGTTAATCCACATTTTCGTGAATGACAATTGAGGGAAGTAATTTTGCATCGAAACAACTTGGACACTTTTAACTTGATATCTCATGAAATGTGGTAAAACTTCTGATAACAAAACAGGCGTGAAATCAAGTAAAATACTCTTTTGGTCGGCATAGAAAATTTCAATTGAATTTGATCGGTGTAAACGGTTTCTTACCAAAACACACAAAACTTCTTTCATTGGTATCTGTATAACTTTGTCTATTTTGATAAGCATGACGCGGTCAGGCCAAATCTGGAAAACACATGTTTCATCACCTTTAATTCTGACATGTAAACAATTAAATTGCTTTACATCGTCATTTTCTGGCAAATTTTTGATTTTGTCACCGTTTAAGTAATTTTTAGATGATGGTATTTTCATTATTGGCTGGCTTAAAGAAGGACAGTAAGAGAATGACCTGGAAAGAACTTTCGTCTTTGTCAAACCACTCCATGGTTGTGACATGTAGCTATTTTGTCTTGAATATCTTCTTATTTGTCTATTCGCTGTGTGTTCACTTATATTTATCTGTTGCGTGTAGACATCGATATCAAATGAACTTAATCCAATATCACGTGTCTTTAATGACAAAAGTGAAGTGGCACATTGAACGTTTCCTGTTTCCAAATTTTTATTAATTATGTTTTTGAAGTTATGCAAACCGATTTGGAACTGTTTGTTCATTGATTCATAGAAAGCAGGAAGATACTCATTGAGTTCTAGTATCAATTGCGGACTTCTCTTATTCTTTTCATTCAAAAACGTGAGGTATTTCACCCAGAATTTCATGTCATCATCCAAAACTGGCAAATTTTGTAACAAAGCCATTGTTGCAGCGAATAAATCTTTATCTTGAATTAAACAATTGTCATCGATCCTCAACATGAACTTGTAATCTTGTATAGATAAATTGACAAACGCTTCTCTGATGTCATCTATATTTAATAGTCTCTGATCCCTGATGAATTGTGAAACAGAATTTGTAACATCAAATAAAGAAAAAGGTGACAATTCAAACAAATTTTGTAAACCATCAGTAGTGTTTGAACCATTGATTCTAAAGAACAAATACTTGATACATCTTTTGATAAACAATGCATGGAGTTTTGAGGAATCTATGGATCCAACTAAAGGAACAATTTTTTCACACAAATTTCTGCCAAATTCTTCAATTCCGAAATCAGTTATATTTGCAAACAAATCAATAATTATTAATATGTCGTCAATGAAATTAATCTGTGGATTGACGAAGAATATTTTAACAATTATATCAGTAACAATTTGTTTTGTTTTGCTTTCGCCATTAACAACTAATAAAATCAACCAAAAACACCACAAATCATGTTGTATCATCAAATTCGCTTCTTCGTAACTGAACTCTATATTTTTAATTTGTTCAGCGAACTCATCAGACTTATACAAAGTGTTTGCAATGATAATTAACAATGGATAAATTAAATGATGATTATTGAAAATTTGTAATAAATTTTCATATAATTTTTCTGTAATATAATTTCCAGACAACAAAGAAACAATTGCATTGATATGAACTAAGTAGAAATCCTTTGTATTCATGGCATACAGTAATTTGATGGCTGTGACAAATCTTTCCTCCGAATTTAGCTTCAATTGATGATAAACTAATTTAGAAACATGTGGAGGAAAATCAATTTTGTTGTTCTTGCAAATATCTGTCAACAAACTCATCAAATTAATGGATTGCTGTATATCAGCACATGTAGAACAATGACTAATAATAGAAATCGCATCTTTGGTAGTAAACTTAAAAAGTGACATCGAATAAACCAATCTTGACAAATTTTGACGGCAAAATTCGATATCTAAGTTCTGAGGTCTTTTTCTGGTGTTGAAAGCTCTTATTATTTCTATTTCTATTGGCTGGTAGTAGAAATACATTCTCATCACTGCCAAAACAGTAGAAATAGGAACAACACGCATGAAAATACTCGGAGAACTTGTAAACAAAGAATTACTCCAGTGAGAAACAATTCTTGTCAGTTCTTTCGGTTCGGAACAACACCATAATTCAGGATTGAACAATATATTGGAAATTAATGATTCCGTAATTTTTGTGCAGTTTATTTTTTCAATGACTGCAAAGAATTTTTGATACAAACCGTAAGTTAACTTTGAGTAAGGAGCATTTAACAATAGGTTTGATATCAAGTGGAATATATCGGTATCTGATTCGGTAAGTGAGGGAACTATGCATTGTATCAGATCTATCAACTGTGGTGGGAAATGGTTTGGCATTGTGTCCATGTAGTCAAAGAAAGGTACTAGATCGGTAATTCTCTGGGTGAACATATCCAATATGGAGTTCTGAGAATAAATAGGACCTTTGTTAAGCTTTATATCAACGCCACTGGCAATTACGGATTTCGGATAACTGAAAATAGCGTAAGAACCGACATCGCTTGCCCTAGCGCCGATCATATTGAGTTCAGAGATCGTTCTTTTGTCTAAACATTCGCCAAAGAACCATACATCTCCAAGTCGACAATCAAATAAACTGTCATCGTCGTTCTGTGAGACTCCGCCGATCTTTATTCCGAGGTTTCCTTCGTGGAAGTTGTATAAATTAACGGAATATGAGTTTACTTGCTTGCCATTTACATAAAAACTGACATTTGAGTCTTTTCCGTCGTTATTGACAGCAATTGTTGCGACAAACCATGTGCATGATGGCAAATTGGATGCTAATGCTGCATAGCTTAGTCTGTTTGCCGACCAAATGTTGCAAATAATTGAATTTCCACTTAAATGCAGTCTAAATATTAAATCTCCTGTGTCATTTATCTGTATGATCTGTGGGCATCTCGTACTCATTAATGCGGCGGGAACATCATTTTGAATGTAAAATTGTAAAGTAAAACCGCCGTGAATGTGCTTATTCGTAACTCCTGTGATATCTAAGTAAGTAAAAGGATCTCCGAGCGGTGTTATGAGTTTTGGTGACTGCATAACTAAGCTTAATGTAGATCCGATCTCTTTCATCGCAGAAATTGCGAAATCAGAAAATGTACGGTCAGAACTTGGAGAAATTACACTTAAAAGAGACATTACGACTTGAGGTGATGATACAAATGACGAAATTGTCGTTATCATCGGAAGAATCACGTTCACAACGTTCTCTTTTGAAATTGTTACGGAATACTTGATTCCTCTGAACGTAAATTCCTTTCCATGGTTCTTAATTATCTCTAAAAGTAATAAATCGAGCTCGCCATTATGACACATCCTACAATTATGCAATGAATGCTTACAAAGTTGTTGTAATAAGTCAATAATCTCTATAAACTGCTTTTCATTCCTGAGAACTGATATTAATACGTTTATCATGTTGTATTCTTTGATTAAAAACATGACTTTTGGAGATGCGGCTCTTGAGTTTGCTAAAATTGTCAAAAGACCGCATATTGTTGCATCTGAGACTATTTCTGATTCAGCAGCCCTTGTTGCTGCTGATAAAAGTGTTGCTGTTTCATATGAAATATGAAATTTCGTTGTTTCGTCAACCAAAAGGGTTGAAAGGTATAAAACTTCACGTAATAAGTCCTTTGATGAATTTTCTACAAGGAAATAAGTGGCTGGAAGCAAAATTGGTGAGAAGCAATTTATAATTGCAGTATTATGAGCGAGGGAGTCATTTACGCAGTTGAGCATGTCAACAACGATACTGGAAAGTCTATCTGTTTTAGGTAACGACCTACATACTCCGAGAATTCCGCAAATGAATTCTACCAAAGGTTGTAGAAGAGTTACGTCTGTATTGGAGTATTCTGTAAGGAATGTATGCAAAGCATTGATGATTGGTTTTTGCATTGATGGCTCCAAAACTCGAGATAAGAAGCCAGATGCAAAAATCGGAGACAAAAAGCAGCGTGCAGCAGCGAATTTGTTCTCTAAAATTGCAAATATGTAATATATTATGGTAGCAATGGCCTTCCTTGATGCTTCAACTTCAATGCCTTTTAATATCAGCTGAGTTAGCATTGAAATCACCCTTATAATAGTTCCTAAAATATTATCATCGGTTAATATCGTCAGATCATAAACTGAAAGCTTGTTGTTGATTCTGCCAATGATATCTGCCAACAACAAAGGATGTTCCTCATTCAAAATTAGCAATTTTCCAATAGTTATAGGTGCATGAATTGATAGTATAGAGAGAACTGTCTTCCTGTAAAAGTTAATAAAATTAATATTTTCTGGCGGCTTGAAAACAGTAATTCCTGGCTGGAAAACGACAAAAAACTTAACAAATATTTTGTCTGATATCCTAACTTTCCTTATATAAGCTAAAATATACAAAAATATGATAAAACTTGAATTATCAACAACTTCAACAAAAGAATCAAAGAAAACATCAGAATAACAATCATGCATACGACTTAGAAATGCAATAATACTTCTTAAAATCTTTTTGTCCTCATTTGAAAGTAATTCATCGAAAGAAAGATTAGTTTCGTAGATACTGGTTGATATTTCATCAATACCATTTGGAAAAAGATCTGTTGGATCAGGCGAGAATGAAAATTCTTTTGTTTTACAGTCAATATCAATTTGAATAAAATCTTCTTCAGAAGGTTGAGTGAACGATTCGCATTTCGGTTGTATCTTATGGCATATTATAGAAGGAAGGTCTTTAACGGCCTCTGTAAGGTATTGATTTTCTTTAATCGTGCCTAATGTTGAAATTATACTTAAAGAAGTCTCGTCGAACTCTGTCATGTATTGGTAGAGCGTAGATATCAGTATTTGGTAATCTAAATCGGCAAATTTCTCTGGATTGCTTGATAAACACGAATTAAATAAATTTGTCAAATAAAGGAAAGAATCTGAAGCCCTGCTCATTACGGACTTGTTTAGAACTTCCGAAGCGAATTCGAAGTTGTACTGGTTGATTTCAGTGAAAATAGTCTCAATAAGGTCAGAAGGAAATGGTTGAGTTGGATTCTCGAAATAACGGGCGCAAATCTGGTTGAGTATGTAGTTATAAAGCGGTTGATTAATAATTTGTTTGAATTTCTCAACAGTAAGGATCATATCTTTAAAACAAGATATTACCTCTAAAATATCTTGTTTTCCCATCCAAGAAATGACAATATAGTAAAGTATAATCGTTGATGAAGGCTTTTTGACTATGTCATCGTTTAAATAACTTAAAAAACTCGAAAGTAAATTTGCATTAAAAATAAAATATGGTCGAATTGGAGTTAAACGCTCTACAGCTGAGTGTTCATTGATTGGCATTGAAGAAACCTTGTTTATGGTTTTTATATCAAGCAATGGAAATTTAATTGTTGATAAAATTTGAAAAAATTGTGATCCATCATCATCAGGTAAAGCAATATTTACTAAAAACCGATAAAGCATGTCATACATGCTCGAGTCCGTCACAGTAATCAATCGTTCTGACGAACTAGTCCAATCAATACTATTCCTATGCATTCAACTAAAATTTCAGCCTTTCAAAATATTTTGAATGAGAATATAAAAAATCAAGCTTTTCCTCTGAAATGGATACATACCATCATATTAGTAGGAGAATTTTGATTTCGGAGCTGATATTAATTGGATCTGCTCATGATATTTGCAATTCAACTTCACAAAAGACTTTATTAGAAATAACATACATATGGTGGATTCCTATTATATCATTGCTAGGATTCGACACGAATCAAATAATGCCGATATAATGATCTGTAATTACTATGTCAGCACATCGAATTTAAACTAAATAAGTGATTGGTTGTAATGTAGTATGGGATAGCCTTTATTTGGAAATATCGTGATATGATGAGGCAATTTTTAAAAATCCATATGATTTTAATAATGTAATCAATTGATGTATGATGAGTAGAGTTTGGGAACAAAACAGACAATCAATATATAAGCTTTTCTGTTACAACTTTATATTTCCTTTGTATTTCAGAGATCTTAATGAATAAAAATACTATACTACTTACTGTATACTATTTTTATTATTGAAGTGATCAATCAAAATCATTTTTTTATAAAGTAAATGGGGGAAGTGATTGATCATCGTTATTCTGATGGCTCTGTTGAATATCTTTTGCAATCAGAAGATTCGAAAAAGTGGATTCAGCCTGATTCGGATAAATATAAAGAGTTAATTAACATATATTTAGGAAAATTAAAAGAAAAAGGAAGAAAAGAAAGACGAAAACCACAGATAAATAGATGCTACAAACCATTAACAAAAATTGTTCGCGAAAAAATCATTAATGGCGAGTTATATTATATTGTAAAAATAGAAGGTGAAAATACACATTATCTGATTCACTCCCGTAATGTTGGGAATATGAATCCCCAACTTATTTCAACTTTCGTTGAAAAATCATTTGCAAGAGATCCAGCTGCTTTAGGAATCACCGAATACAATAAGATTGAAATACACGCAACAGAATACGTTATTGATGACGATTAATTATCAAAAACAATCACAATTTCGAAAATATTATTGCTAATATACCAATTTTAACTTATATAGCGAAGATCAATAGACATCAACAGAGATGTTACAAAGATTTTATCAACAGTTTTATAGAAAATTTTTGAAATCCAAATTGGTGCAAAATCATATATAATTCTTAGTAAATATAATGTTAGTACTGATTGATAATACATTTTATAATTTGTTTTCTTTTTCCTTTCATCCCAATATTATATTTCAAGTATTGAATTACAATATACTTACTCTTCGCATTACACAGATATCCACATTCTAGAAAATAAGAATATTTTATGTTTCTTCTTTCATAATGTTTTATCTTTCGAATAAATTATGATATTAAAGGGAAAATGAACATCAGTTAATGCGCAACAACTCATAACTTTCTATAGGAATCGATTCAATTCCTTTATAAGTTCCTATTTTTCACTCAAAAAATAGCTATAGAATTTGAAATGACACTTTTCCAGTATATAATAAATGTTCTACCTTGTTTTTGGCTTGCTTCAACTTGCATCCGCTGAAAATAGTGTTAAACCCAAAGAAAATACAAAAGTTACGAAACAAGCAACAAACGAAAAACCAGAAATTCAAAAAAAAGATTTACCTAAATACTTTAGCTATGATAAAGAGGTAGAAAGATATGCACCAGACCTTGCTAATGCTCCAACAGATACTAAACTCGAATCACCAGACGGAACATACTGGATTGTCGAAAGAAGAGTCGATGGCGCAGATCATATCAAAATTGGTCGTCAATATAGAAAAGATGGCAGCCTTATGTACACATACGATTGCACCACATTTACATTCGCTTAATTGACTTTATATTTTGTAAAAATTTATTTCTTCCGTTTTCCATATCAATTTTGTTTAGTTTTAACTAAGAAACTTTCAATACTATCTAAGTGATAAATGTTTTATTAAAGTTTTTTTATTTTCAAATTCGAAATATCGAAATTCATTTTTGTATATTGATTGACTAAATATGTGCTATTGACACACTGAATTAAGAACTCCTTTATAAAGCCATAAATTTATCTGAATTATTTTTTTGAATGAAAATTAAGAAATAATTTAGGATAAGGGTTTCGTTTTGCTCAAATTGTCACTTTTATAGCATATTTGTTTTTGGATGTTTTGCGAAACCAAAAAAAAAACTATGATATACAATGTGTGTGTAAAGAAAATACTTTATTTACTAGTTAAAAAATCATTTGGTATTGATCAAGTTATTTTTTCTGGATAAGATATTATATGGATAATTGGATAGAAAATACAATTATATAATCTTGTACCTGGTTTAATTAAGCTAATTGTCATCAGAAACTTGTAATTTTTATGAATTTCAGATTTTCTTTTCATTACTGCTTTTCTTAATAGGTCAAGTTCTTATTTACGTTATAAAGTATGATATTTACAAATATCAAGTTATCGTGTTTTTTGAGAAATTATGAGAAACAAACAAAAATGAAAAAGATAGGAATAGCAATGAATAGTGATGTGGGTATAGAAAATGTAAGAGATATGAATGCAAAGCAATCAGTATTTAGGATATTGACCATAGATTTCGAAAAAAAAATGCTGCATATTGAGCGAAAACTATGATTATATTATAAGGCTGTCATTTAAAGCATAATGAAACTATTCCCTTTTCATTTTAATCGAATAAGATAGTAAAGATTTTTGAATTAGCTAGAAACTGATGAGATGTTTTCACAAATCAGATTTTTAATCTCTATAATGCATAATTCACTCAATATCTCAATTTTGATATTGCGAGATATTTTTGCTATCGGTTTTGCAATTTTGACACAATAGCAAGAGGGTTCTATAAGCATTATTATCAACGTAGAATCTGAATATCATATCAGAAAATGTCGCAAATCTGACATTTACCCGACCAAATAGCAAAAATAATTGAATACTTTTCGCAAAAACTTTAAAAATCGATAAAAATACGAAATATAGATATTAAAGAGACTTTTTATATAATATTCATAAAGATTTTCCAAAAATATGATACCGCAAAATTAAAAAAGTGACGTCTTGAGTGGAGTCAAAGGTCGAAATTGCTAGCTAAATGTTTTTTTAGCGAAATTGCGTATTGTACGTTTTTTTCGCAAAACGAAACCCTTATTTAGGATATCATAAAGCATCACCAGAACATGTATGCCTGATATTGTGCTGTTTGCAATTCATGACTCGATATCTTTACATTTCGTTTTAAACCCTTGAAATTAGAGGCTTTTATCCGAGATTTAGATCATCAACATACTATTTGTTATGAGCACATGATTGAAATTTAGCATAACCATAAATCAAAATTTCATTGAAAATTTGTTATGTGATTTTTGTTAGCATTGAGGATTATTTTAACTGATTTCATTGAGGTACATCTAAATCTTCAATAACTCATCTAATCATTGTTAAAATTTTAATAAACGGTCTCCACCTTTGATAGGAACGATAGACATTTCTCTTGACATGGATTCTCAAAGACTTATCGAGCAACTCCGTGAAATGAGAAGACAATTAGAGTCTGTTGATGGTCCTTCAAGAGACCGTAAGCCAACAACATCAGTACAAAGAAATTATTCAAGTCCGTATTCTCCAGGAAAGAGGACAGCAGTTCCAGAGCCTCAGCCATATACCCGATCCTCTAAATATCAATATTCAAATCAATATGCTGGTTATGGAGTTACAAACGATGCTCCAAAATTCGCCCGCCAAAACTATCAACCAAGACCAGCACCAACGCAGCTATCTAGCCAACCAAAGTATTCTTCTCAGTATCAGAAGTCTCCAGTTAGAAGCACTCCGATCTATAACCTTCCACAGCAGCCACGAAATGATCAATTCGCCAACCGCTTCACGAGTATTAACCAGCCATCAAGATATAATATCAGACCAACATATTATAACTATGCTCAGCCTCAGCAAGTTCGTAATCCCCTTGCAAGGAAACCATTTGATCTCAATAAGATCAACCAGATGGCTATAGACTCTTCTGATGACTCATCAAATGATTCTGATGATAGCTTCTACAACTTCCCAAGCAAATACTCAACAAAGAACGTAAAGACCAAAACAAGCTTAAAGCGCTTTGTTCTTTCGGACTCGGATTCAGATTCAGATTCATTCGACTATGAATACAAGCACAAGAAGCATAGCCATAAGAAGAGTATTTTCCCTTCATATCGCGACGAAGAATCAGAATCTTCCGATGATACTGATGCTGACGAAATCATCCGCAAGTTCTCTCACAAGAATAAGCGCTCGCTTGCTACAACCACTAAATTCGACCAAACAACCAAATACAATAAGCCATTTGAGACAAAGAAGAGCCAAGATCCAGTTATCGAAAGAAGGCAACAGATCAGAGCATTTATTGCTTCTCTCGAATCCGATTCTGACTCAGATTCTGATGATTACAGACCAAAGAAGCACTCCCACAAGCCAGAACCAAAGAGATCTTCATACAAATTCAGCAACTTGATTGATTCAAGCTCCGAGTCAATTGAAGAGCCACCACGTAAGAATTACAAACCTTATTCTCATCACGACAAGAAACACTCCAAGAAATACGAATCATCCGACGATTCTGATGACTCAATCTTCGACAAATACATGAACAAGGCCGGAGCAAAGCTTCCTGCTGCTGTATCTACAAATTCTGAGTCAAGTGAGCTCACAGGCAAGAAGAAACTTGCTGCCATCCTTGCATCTTCATCAGATGATGACTCTGAGGAGAGTTTCATCCAGAAGAAGTATCCATCTGAAATTTCAGACCTTTCATCTTCTTCTATCAAGCCACAACCAACAGCTACAAAACCAAAGGTCGAGACAAAGCCAAAGGCTGAAGCCAAACCAAAGACAGAACTCAAGGATCTCAGTGATTCCGAATCCGGCGAAAGTTCTACAAGTGAACTCATTCGTAGAGTTCTCAACGGCACAAACGTCGATTTAGATTCAGATCCCGATGACTCCGATGTCCGTGCAATTCTCAAGAAGCACGAATCTTACAAATCTCAAGATCAGCCAAAGCCAGAGAAGAAATCTGAGACGAAGCCAGCTTCTAAACCAAGCACAGATTTCGATAGACTGATGAATAAGTACCTTAATGATGAAGATTTGTCAAGCGAGGAAATTATTCCAAAGAAACCACTTCCAAAGACATCAAAGAAGGACGATATCGATCTTGATGACGATTCTGAAGAAGAAATCAAGCCATTCAAGGCCAAGGAAGAGACAAAGAAGTCAATTCCAAAGAAACCAATTGTTGAATTGGAGGAAGAAGAGGACATTGAGGATATTGAGATCAAGCCAATGCCAACAAAGAAGGTCATGGCCGACGAAGAAGAGGAAGATTCCGATGATCTCGAAATCAAGACTGTTCCTTCCAAGAAACAAATCAAAGACGATGAAGATGAAGAAGATTCCACAGCCAACATCAAGCCAATGAAAGAAGCCAAGAAATCCATAGATCTTGAAGATGAAGAAGAAAGTGACGATGAAAAGTACCAAGCCATCCTCAAGAGATACGCTAAAATTGCAGACAAAGACAGCGGATCCCAGAAGAGCTCTCAAATCCCAGATGATGAGCCATCAATGCAAGATTCTGCTGCAGAAAAGGAAGAAGAAGACGATGAAGAGATTCCTGTTCCTAAATTCGCCAAGAAAGAAGAAGTAGAAGAAGAGGAAGACGATTCAGAGATAACAGAATCAGATATCCAGAAGAGAATTGCAGAAATCAGAGCTTCTCTTAAGAAGGAACAAGAACAACAGGACAAAGACATCGAAATCGAAGAAGATGCTTCAGATGAAGATGTTGTTGAAGAAAAGAAAGAAAAAGTAGATGAAGAAGAGGAAGAAAAACAAGAAGAAGAGAGTAACACATTCAACTCCGAAGACATGAGATTACTCAAAGCTGCAGGCGAACTTTCATCTGTTTCCACACAAGGATTCGCTGATGACGAAGAGGAAGAAGAGACAAAACAGAAAGAACCATCATCTCCAAAGCGTCTTTTAAATGACTACGACGCTGAAATCGATTTCGAAGAAAGCGAAGAAGAAATCAAACCAAAACAATCTTCTCCAAAACCAGAACCAACCAAACAAAATTCTCCAAAATCTTCTGTTTCTGCCAAATCAGAACAAATTAAAGAAACATCAGCTAAATCTTCTGTTTCTGCCAAATCAGAACAAATTAAAGAAACATCAGCTAAATCTTCTGTTTCTGCCAAATCAGAACAAATTAAAGAAACATCAGCTAAATCTTCTGTTTCTGCCAAATCAGAACCAGTTAAAGAAACATCTCAAAAGTCATCATTCTCTGCTAAGTCAGAACCGGCCAAAACAGAGTTGATTGTTGATGATGAAGAAGAGGAAGAAGAAATAGAAGAAGATATACAAGAAAAGATTAAACTTCCTTATAAGTTACCTGTTTTAGATTCTGAAGAAGAAGTTCAGGAGAAAGAAGAAGAGGAAGAATCAGCCAAATTATCTGATGATGTAAAGATTGATGCTGAAGAAGAAGACGAAGATGACATCGACACAAAGAAGTTCTTAGAAGAATTAAAGAAATCTACAAACAGAAAGATAATTTTCGATGATGAAGAAGAACAAAAACAAGAAAAGAAAGCTGAAGAGGAAGAAATCGAAGAAGATGATGATGATAACACAAATCTTTCTGTTGATGAATTAATCAGAAAATTCCACATCTCAAAGAAAGATCTTGATTCTGAAGAAGAAGAAGATCAACAAATTAAACAAGAAAAACAAGTTGAAGAAAATGATGAAGAAGAATCATTTGATAAAGACATCAATCAAATCATCAAAAACATCAATAAACAATCAGTTGATGAAGAAGAACAAGTTAAACCAACTGAAGAAGAAGAAGATGTCAATGCAATTGTAAACAAATTCAAGAAACCAGTTGAAGAAGAAGAGGAAGAAGAATCAAATGATCAAGATATCAAAACATTATTAAGCAAGTTCATTAAACCAGAAGATCAACAAAAAGACGAAGAAGAAGAGGAAGATTCAGATGACGAAGAAATTAAACCAATCATGGAGAAACTCAACAAATCAGCTTCTCCAAACAGAGAACAACCAAAACAAACTTTACCTAAAGAAGAAGAAGAAAATGATGAAATTCCAAAGCCAATAATAAACAAAGAAGAAAACGAAGAGGAAGAATCAGATGTAGATTTTGATGATGACGAAATCACGAAGATAATGGAAAGAATAAAGAACAAATCAATATCTCTTAAAGATGACGAAGAAGAAGAAGATATCCTCAAAAGCGACAACGAAGTAGATGAAATCAACTTCACAAAATCGAATTCCGAAGAAGAGGAAGTCGAGAAAGTAGTTGCGGATGAAGTAGACGTAGAAGTCTCAAAGGAAGATGAAGAGAAAGACATCAAAGAAGATGAGGAAGAAGCAATAACAAGCTATGAAGATATTGCTAGAAGACCAGAACCATCAAATGATTCTGAAGAAGAAGACCAGGCTATCAAAGGAAAAATGTCCGCAGATAATATAGAAGAACAGCTTAATAAGAATGTCAACGTCGGTGGCGGCGATGACAATCAGAAGAAAGCTGTAAATGATGAAGAGGAAGAAGATGATGTCAAATTACTTGAAAATCTGAAAAATAATAAAGATCTCAAATTAGATGATGAGGAAGAGGATGATGATAGCGATTTTGACTTGGATGCTGTCATGAAGAGATATAATTTGACTCAAGAAGATTTAGATGATGATGATGAGGAAGAAGAAGAAGTTCAAAGTGTTGAGGATATATAATTTTTTTTGGTATTTTTTTGATAAAACTTTATTTTTTAGCTATGAATTTTTATTATTCATTTATTAAAGATTTCTCAGTAATTACACAAAGATAACTTTTTTCGAATTGTTGTTGTTACAAACAAATATTTCTTTTTCGTCTCCAACATGTAATAATTTCCAAGCAACTTTGGAAGTAATTGCTAAAGGAGGAATTAAAGAATATAAGTATAATACTCAAATGAATAAAGTAATGTATGGATTCAATATAGTTATTTATAATGAAAATGAATAAAGAAAAAGGGATGATTCTGAATCCGTCTGTTCACTACATGGAGATAATTCTCATCATTTGTAACTTTCGGGAAAAAGCATACTTTTTCACAGTCGAATAAACTTAATGAATCACGCATATGGTCAAAATTGACAGTATTTTGACTTTCATTGGAGAATTCAATTGTAGAATCAAACTTTTTTGCTACAGCATAACAATCAGTTACAAAGATTTTTGCATAAGCTATAATATCATTTTCCCAATATTTTCCCCTGGCATAAAATATCTAGTTTGTTTCATTGTTTTCGAAAATACAATGAGTAAAATAGCCATTAATCAAATACCTTAAGCAAACAACATTACTTGCAACGTTTTGGGTTATAGTACAATATGAAAAATTTATTTCACTAATATTGTTAAAATTCAATATAAGTATTCCGTTTGAATTCGTAGTACTCGAGATATCGGAGTTTGAATTGTTATGGATATTTGAAAACTTGACAAAGCTATCTTTTGATGTCGGAGCTATTGATAAAAATCCTTTGATTTTTGATGAACAGTCTGATATATTGCAACAATTCGATTGAACGTTTCCTTCATTCAAACTAACTTGGCTGACAAATAATGGATTTGGAGCACCGCATGAAGAAATACTTGTTTCATAAATAAAATTCTTAGTTATTTCTATATTATCTGATTCAACATAACAAAAATGACCAGCAGGCATGGATCCTTTTCCTACTTCTGATGTCGTAGAAACATTTTCGACAAATAGCCTATTTTGGATAAAATCTCCAGAAAAATTGGACCAAATTGGGCTAAAATCAGAGGTTTTAATAGAACTAAATATCGACTTTTCAATCAAAAATTTCGCGTTTAATGATTTTTTGGTAATATAAACGATACTATTTGCAAGGAATTCAAAATATGAGGAGTCAATAAAATAGCAATTATAATCCGAAATCTCCGATTTGTCGAATTTTTGGCAGGAATCTGATCCATAAAATTCATTCCAAGAAAAACTGAAGGAAATAATATGCATTGAAAACTACTATCGAACAATGAATCAAAATATTACTTGATTTTCTTGACATTTTTGAAATTTGTTACGTGTACTTACTTAGAATTGGATATATATATGAATTAAAAATAAACCAAAGCTATTTTTTAAAAAACAAAAAATTGGAACTTAATTCATGAATTCTTGTTATTTTTTATTATTTAATGAATCTGGATCAATGAAAACTATTTTGATGGAATTTTGCAGCTGGTTTGAAAGATTGATTAAGGATACCCTTACATTGCGTAGTTAGAAAGAGAATATGATATTGTCATGATTGCTAAAGTTTTAGGCTCCAGAAATGAATATACATCAAACTGAAACAATTGATAAATTGAATGAACTTTTGAGAGGTTCTCAAATAAAAAAAATTATCTAATTTTTTACAATATTACTATTATTTTATCCACATATGTATATATAGTAATTTGAGAAAACTTTTAGGAAAAAATAAGTTTAATAAAAATCTGAATTTTACTTGTTGTGGGATTGTTATTAATTGACACTCCAGACGTATTACTAATAGTTATGCGTATGCAATTAAAGTATTTCTGATGGACAAAATGTGAGATTTATATCAGATAATTCATTTCTACTATTAAGTTATTCATTTATGAGTTTGCACTTATTCGCACTAAATAAATAACTATTAAAAATTGTTTTAATTAATTGACACCATATAATAGAGTGAATTTTGTTTGATCAAACAACAATAGATGATAGATATAAAGCCAAGAAACTTGCTATTAATATGCTCTACTTGCTATTTCAATGTAAGTATGATATTTTCTAAATGTTTCGTTCAGATAACTTAGATATATTAGTCAAAATTTGAAATTTTAATAGCACATATATTAAAAATAATTATTATTCATAAAAGATTAATGAAATAGTAAAAAAAATCAATCAAATTATAAAAATACAACATTTAGAAGAATTCTTATTATCCTTCAAAAAGTCAGTATTTCTGCTGTAATTTTCTACAACATTGTAGTTATTGCACTTTGTCTATGGATTTGTATATATGTTATATATAAATTATATATCTAAACTGCCCATAAGTGCAATTTTTATATAAATTGTTTATTTCTTTAACAATTTCATATGAAATATGCTTTTTTAAGCGTATCAAAGCTGTGTTCTTAATGTGCATGGATATATCAAGAAAAATGTCGAAAAAAAAATGTGAATTCACAAATTCACTGAATTTTCACCGTTTTTTGAATTTTGCTACAGCACTAATATTAAATAATACTAAAATCTTCTGTCTTTGTAAAAGAATAAATTCTGACAAAAAGTGCTCGTTTAAATTTAATGATCATCTGTATGACTAAGTGGTAAAAAGTGTTTATGACCAAAAAAGGGTTACATGCTTAGTCTATTTTTCTGACAGGATACTCTAGATTTACATGATCTCTATTTCATATCTCCGTTTTTAGATTCTTCGACAGATTTTATGATAGAAAACCAAGATTAACAAATTTCCGGCATGTTAATGAAGAAATCTGCAGCTACCCTCAATATTATTTCAATAATCAGTATCGTTTCTCTTACAATTTATTTTTTTCTCAATAATTTAACAAGAAATAACAATACACACTTGGTTTTACGTATAAAAGCTAAGTGTCGAACTTAATCAACTTTACTTACTTAGCAAATGAATATTTTTGTGGTTGCGAGTTCTGAATGCTGAAGTTTTAGATTTCTCTATAAATGATATCATTGCACTTACAATGTTGTTCCAGCCTATCGCATAAATCATAGAAAATCCAAAAAAAAAAAATAATATAAAGAAAATTCATGTCATGAAGTTCAAAAAATACCGTGTAACATTAAAATTTGTTATGCATAATACATTTTAGCTATTATTGATTTTTTTTTAATTTTCGAGAAATTGAATGGTGAGTCCGATAGAGAAATTTTTAAAAATCCTAGTGCCTCATAGAAGTAATTTCCCTCGTCTCCCATACTTCCAAATATATGCATATGACATAAACTTTTATGCATTACACAAGTGGCCAATAATATCTATAGAGTAAAAAATTAGAAATTTAATTTTTTTATATGATAGTTATATTTCAGATTTGCGAGCGTAACTTTTTTCTCCATGGCATACTTGTTTTAAGAGCAAATGATCAAAATCGTCCTTCAATTATTGAAGGAGCTGATATCTTTTGAAAATTGAATTGAAAGGGTATTCAATTTTCAAATTTCCTCTCAATTTTGGAAACATATCAACTCTATGAATTAACAATTATGTGCCTTCACAGTTTATCAGTCATATAAGGTGCTTATAAAGAAAAAAGTTACGCTCGCAAAATATGTTTTTATATAGATTTCACATAAAATAATTATGTAATTTCTAAAAAGAATATTTTTGTTCTTGAATATTAAAGTGTATTGTAGTTTAAAAAGTTTTAAATATGTTGCTAAAATTTCAGGTTTATAGCTCATGTCTAGCATGACTTCTTCGTATGCGCAAAAAATCTGACACGTAAGGAAAAAAAAAAAAAAAAAAAAAAAGGAAGTGGGGCTTCCAGGCACTTCGTGCCCTCTAGCCCTGAAGATGTTTAGTATAAATGAAGTTTTTATTCGGAAAATTGTTAGTCTTCTGGTGTGAATTCGGAGGACTCTTCTTCTTCAACATCAAAGTCATCTGGTGTATCGAACTGAATGTATGAAAGCCAAATGTTGTATGTGTTTTCCAATTGGCTTTCAAACTTGAGATACATTCCATGCATGAGTGTTATTTCAGTTTCAACGTAGAGTTGCTGATGTGGCTTGAAGACATGCATGAGAATTGGTCCTCCAAATTCGTCCTTGAAAAACTTGCAGTAGCAAACATAAACTGAGATAGAGTCTCCTTCTTCAATGTCTTCTGCTTGGTTAACGAAATGAATAGCAATTTTGCGTACTTGAATTGTGTTGTTGTCTGAGTAAAATAATGGTTTGAACTTGGGGTTGAGTGAGCTAAGACATTGCCATTTTGCTGTTTCTTGTCCGTACTCACGTTCTTCTTCGTCATCCTGATATCCGTAACTCTTTGATTTGAATTCGACCCAAAGCTGTTCGACTTTTTTTGCAGCTTTGGGTGGAAGACTTTCAATAAGCTGACATATAGTTCTGTCAACCATTATCTTTGTTATTGTTGGAAAATAGTTGACAATTGTGTCACCTAATTCGAATGGGTCAGGTGTTTCTTTTTGTAGTTTGGTAAAGTCTGCAAGAACTTTGTTGAGTTGTTCACAATATTCTTTGTTAAAAGTTGCAGGAACTCTTTCTTCTGGCTTTGAATTGAAGTATTCTTCAGACAATCTGAGTAGTATTTTGCGTAGTTCAGCGTTGCTGTGGTTCTTTGTAATACGGAGCTCGTTTGGTATTGTTTTTGGTAGTGAAAGTGGCTTTGGATTGAGTGAATTGCAGGACAAATTTGAATTTGAATTGTCTGTTCTGCTTGGAGAATGTGTAGATGCGCAGTTTGATATTGAGGTTCTAAACCTGTGGGTGCTGAAAGTCTGCAAGCAATTTCTTCAGGTGAATTTGGAGCGAACACGCTAGCGAATGCCATTAGACAAAAATAAACTGTTTTTTTCAAATAAGAGTTTGAGATGAACCGTTTTCGTCAACGGAGACCCCCTCTATATTTTTTATTTTATTAATAGTTACCGTTGGAAAACCGTTCCATCTCAAATATTGAATGAACTATAAACGTTTTTTGTTTTCTATATATACTTTTTTGTCCAACGGTAAAACTTTTTACACAACGGTTTTGAGAGTCGTCGCTGTTGACTTTTTTGTAGAGCACTCAAAATAGTATAACTTTGTCCGGACAAGTAAGGGTCTATCGTCGCTACAGGAAAGTTAACGGGCGTTCCAAGGAAGTATCTTTGAGAAGACTTTCCCCCTTATAGAATGAGATATAAGACGGTTATTTACAAAACTGACAACACTTTCACCGAGTGTTAGTTTTTTTGTGCTGAACAAAAAGTGTCATATAAACATCTGTCAAAAACCGCTTTTTAACTTCACTTAAAATGCCACGTAAGCTACGTAAGAATATACGTAAGAGGAAGAGAGCATTGAAACATCCAATAGTAAAACTAACACCACAACAACAGTTGCAACAACAAATTATGAATGACCCCACTATGTTGCAACAAATGTCAAGCAACCCTATGCTTTTAAACCGAGTTATTGGTGCACAGAGTGGAGGTTTAAGAGCGGCACTTTTAGCGAAAATGGCAGGCTATGGTGGAGCCGCAGACGGAACAGCTTATAACCCTCAAAGTCAAATGAATTTGAGTTCACTCAAAAATCAAATAACAGATGTCAAAAAGTCAAACATAGACATACAGAAACAAATAAGTGAAAACGAAAAGAAACTAGAATATGACAGACACACAAAGAAACTCAATGAGTTAAACGTAGAGAAAAAGAAGAAAGAAGAACAACTGAAAGAACTAAGTACAGAGGAATATGCGAAAAAAGTGTCAGAAAAAGCAGCAGAAGTAGCAAAAATGGAACAAGATGTTATAAATTTGAAAAACCATACTACTCAATATAAAGTACTGAAAGATGAAGAAATAAAACAAAAAGCCCCGAAGACATATATGGATAGCGATGAGTATAAAAAAGAAGTTGAAGCAAATGTAAAGGCAGAAAAACTTTTACAGTTGCAAAACCAAACCGTACAGTATGAAAACTTAGCACAAGAAAGTAAAAATAACGACGCAGCCATGCAAAAGGCAATGAAAAGCGCAGAATATATAAAAGCTAATAATGACTGGTTAGATGCCCAAGCCAACGCCAAAGCAGCCCAACTTATAGGGTCAATAAGGACAAAAATACAAGCGGATGAAGACAGTTCAAATGAAGCTTTAATGAATGCTGACTTTAAGAACGCCTTCGAAGCTCTTCATAGTAAGGTGAAACTAGTGAACGACTTCTCATCTGGAAAGAAACTGAAGTCTGAAGGTTTCGACAACGAGTTAAGAGAAGTAGCACAAAATATGACGAAAATAACAGATGCAGCAACGAGACAGGCAGTTCAAAGTGCCTATGACGCCGTTAGAGCAACTGTTGTGGAAAGTCAAGAAAAAGAGTTACAACAGACCAAAACAGACCTAGTAAATGCTTTCTTAAAAACGAAAAGTCAGGTAGGACATTATGCTGCAGATGGAACATATGTGCCAGCTGGTGGAACTTATATACCAGCTGGTGGAACTTATATACTAGCTAGTGGAACTTATATGCCACCAAACCCTCCAAGAGAAGCACCTGCACCAGGACTACCTAACACATTTACATCGTCACATGGACACAGACACAGGCATGCACCAAAACCAACACAACAACCAACAGTTCAAAATCCAGCACCACAACCAACAGTTCAAAACACTGCACCACAACCAACAGTTCAAAACACTGCACCACAACAACCACAAACAGAGCAAGGACATAAAAGAAGTAGAGAACAAGGAAACCAAGAATTCTTAAAAATGCTTAAGGAAAATTATGGTTACCCAGATACTCTTGACTTTAGTGACAGATATAAAGAAGCTATTAGAAAGTTCAAGGAAGGAAATACTGACCCGAACCTATTTAGCTTTATGGTTCAGCACCAAATGGGATATAATTTCAAACCTGGAAAATACAAACTCGCTAAGGGATATGATTTAATAGCATATCATCCAAATGACATGGATGAATTTACTCCGAGATATTTGGTGTCAGAGATAAATGATAATTCAACTATCTTCATGAAACGCGTAAAAAATAGAGACGGAACGAAAGAAGAAAGGGTTATGAATGCGGATGGCTTAAATAGGGAACTTGTTAAAAACGGTCTCGGAATATATGAAATGCCAGCAGATGAGGTACAAGAAACTCCACAGGAAGAAGTTCAGATACAACCAGACATGGAAGAAATAGTTCAGCAACAACAGCTAGAAGAGCCTGAAGGAAACGAACACGTCCCTCCTTTGGAAACTAACTTCACAGAACTAGATGAAGATTTGGAACAGCCGAAAAATCTTGACCCTCAACAAGTGTATGCGGAGAATATGGAATCTTTCCAAGAGTCTAAGAAAAATTCGGCTGACATAGTAGAAGAATATCGAAAAATGTTCGCCGACATACAAAAGACTCCAACATCAGATGAAAATATTCAGCATAGAATGGAAGTACTGAAAGAAAATGTACGCAAATACAACAATCCTTTTTACTTACGACCATATAACGTTCAATCTTTGGATGAACTCGGTGAAAATAAAAGGTTAAATTTCAACAAAACATATAGAAATGAAACATTGTTTAAAGTTCATTCAGAACCTAGCCAATATGGAAACAAACCTACTTTTGTTTCTGCAGACTATGGAACTACAATGAGATGGGGTCATAAAGCTAATCCGGATAGGTGGTTCATAAACTTACAACCACAATTCCAAGAAGTTGTAGACGCAATGGAAGTGAATGGTGAACCAGATATAGCTGGTATTTTCAGCGCGGCTTTAATGCCATTGAAAGATATGAAACATGCAGATATTTTGGACCAGTATGAAATGAACATGGCTGATGGAAATATAACACCTGACGTTCTAGAACATTTATCTCAAAGAACTACACAGAACCATAGAGATGGTATATTTGGTGAAGAGTTTAGAAAGAAAGTTAGGGAGAGAGAAGGAAGAGAACCTATTGTACATGACCTTGCAAACGAAAGTTTGCAAAATGTCATAAAAACTTACTTTGCAGACAATGAACTGAGAAGGGATGAATATTTAAGAAAACTCAAATGGACAGTACCAAATGAAATGTTAGTATTGAAAAACATGTTCCATGACAAAATAAAACCAACTACAGAAATAAATGACGCAAGACTGAAACGTTGGGTAAAAGCTTTCCCATTCACAAAAGATATTATTGGTAACATGGAAAGAAAACCAGAATGGCTACAAAAACATATATTTGGAAACGAGCTTATTCCATATGGACAAGCTCTGTTTGAAGAGCTTGAACCGGAAACTCAGGAAAGAGTCATGCAAACAATACGCGAAGACTCAAATACAAACTATGACAAAATCTTTCTAGGATATTGGTTACCTGAGATGGGCGACCAGAGCCCAAAGGCAAAAAGGACACGTGAAATTTACAACATACTAGGTGAACATGAGGCAAAGATGCAACAACTTGAAGCAGAGGGCAAGTTACCAAAAGCGACACCAAAGAAGAAGAGTAGAACAAAGTGAAAGTAGTGAAGAAGTTACTTCATCTAGTGAAAGTAGTGGCAATGAAGGAAAAAGAAGAGTTAAAAACTCAGTCAGGAAGAAAGTAAAGCTTGGTACGAAACAATTATGACAAATAAATCAACTATTCTATATTTTTACCCATATGAAATGTACGCCGCTCAGAATATAACGCCAACAGTTTTGGATGCCATGAACGGAAATGTTTCCGAATGGTATAACGAATGCGACAATGCCATTAGAAGGTCAGAAATAGTTCCTGGAACTTACGAATATACAACTGCTGTTTCTTATGGAAACGTAGGTGAGTTTGGAGAAGGTTCTTCAACAACAGTAGATATTGCTTGTGACAGGTTTCATATTATTTCTATTGACAACTCATTCTTATACGTGGAACAAGACATTGAAATAAAACCTTCTGCCAAGTTGTCTGACAAGAAAGGTTGCAATGGAATTTTCTATGTCGGATACCAATATGCTCCAGAAGTTTTCATGGGATATAAGATATATTCTAACTCTGACTTAGTTCAAACAGTAACATGGGCAAACTATGAATGGTTCGCTTTGAGAAACTCAGTACAACCACAAGCTAGAGAACAAACAGACCAGTATGCAAATATTGAAAAAATAAGAAGACTTGATCCTAACGTTCCAGGAGTTTATGTTAACCTTTCTGGACAAACTGCAGCAGCAGTAACCAAAGTAAAACTGAAACTTAGAGTTCCTTTGTCATCTTTCCTCATCTTCAGGTTTTTAAGATACTTGCCAAACTGGGCAGGAAAAATTTCTATTGAACTTACTCCAAGCAAAAATAACTTAGTCATTGCACCAACACAAGACCCATTCAGCATTACTGTAGCTGGAACTGGTGGAGCCAAGTTCTGTGACTTTTGCAAAGACAAAGTTGACTTAGACTTTGGTTTCTCAAACTTCAACAATGAAGTAAACTATTATTTCAATGCTGCTGGAACTGCTTGGGACCCAGTTAAGTTTACATGCGAAAAGTTTGAATGCAAGAGAATAGAAAGCAGACTTGCAGTCTATATGTTGGACCCAGATATTTCAAATGCTTTAGCTGCCAAATATATTGCAGTTCCACTTATGTTCCCTATACACCAAATATCTGTCAAAGACTTTGCAGGTGAAGTTGGAAACCAAAGTGCTGACCCAGGTGCAAGAACAGATATTGCTTTAACAACTGCAATGAAACATGCAGATACTATGTTTGTACTGTTCAGACGAACTATAAATGACTATTCTTGTTTCTACAACCCCGGTATTAAATATCATATAAACATAGATGGCAAATATTATCCAAGAGAAGAATATTCTACAGTTGAGGATATGAGGTCATACAACTTGACATTAGATGCTATGAACTTTAACAACAACTTCACAACAACCATAAACCCTGAAATGCAAAGTTCTATTATGCCATATGTGAAAGTATGGACTCATACAGGAGGTCAAAAAACTCAATATACAAATGGAGACCGTTCAAACTTTTGGCTTGGCATTCCATTTGCTGACTCAGAAGACTTTATGGGTGGTATTTCAACTGTTGGTACTGTACAAATACAATATACTGGTGACAGAGACGGTCCAGATGAACTGAGAGCAAAGAAGTTTACAAAACCAATAGCACTTTTCACGGAAGATGCTCTTTTGAAGATTCGTTCGATGAAACCTGCTGGGGCTCCTCAGATTGGCATAACGACAGCTTCCATCGAGCAGATTTTGGCAGCAGGTCAGTAAGTTGTTCTTGAACTGACTTCTCTCCATCGTAAATAGTTATGACACCTGTTTTGACATAATATTGTATTATAAACTTACCTTTAGAAATATCTGTAAGTTTTGTTGTTATATTTTTGTCTGCTTCAAGAACTTTCACCATTTCAGTTATACCAACTTTCTTTGCTTTATGGAAATATTTTGGTTCAGCAAAGACTGCTATTCTATAACATTTACCATTGTTTGTATAAAGAACTATTCTGTCAATGTATTTGTATTGTTTGTGTGTGTAAACTTTGTTCTGCTTCAATTCGAAGAGATACTCGAATACGTCCATCTTTTTATTCTAAGTAAAATGTCATTTCCGAAAAATAGAAGCGTAAGTGTTTCAAAAGGTTTAATGGCGGTGGCAGATGTGAAGTTAAATTCACCAACTCAAACAAACAGTCAAAGTGTTGTTGTCAATGTCAAAGACAGAGATGTTGAAGTGGGGAAACCATACGAGGACGAAGATGGTATAACAATTGTTCCTGTAAAAGAACAACCAACATATCCTGAAGTTAGCAGAGACTTAAGTTCTGTTGCAGATATTCGAAACGACTACCAACAACTGAAAGACAAACTTCAAACTCAGGAGAAGATTTGTCAAGCTTTAAGTATAATGTTAAACTTGGTCGAACACAACCCTGTAAAAGTGAACTCATATGTCATTGCACCTCATGAAGTTTTGAAAGAACTATTGAAACTTTTGACAGAGGCAGACGATATAAACATCAAAGAAATAGAACCCGACATTAGTTGCTGTGGTGTTTCATATAATGTCATTGACAAGATATACGTTATGAAAGGAGGTGAAACGTTGAACTTAAAGTATAGTTTCCCAGACGTCATAAAAATATTTGACGACCACAACATTTCATTAAAATTTATTTGCTAAGTAAAAATGTCAAAACTTCTTGAAAGATGTTTGAAGAAAAATAATATAGACTTTATTTCATGTAAAGGACTTTACACACTTTTGA